TATGAATATGACGAAAATAGGATTTTGTCAGAATCACTTTCTGAATCGATTAAGCTGACTGGCTGTCCATGTAAAAATAATTTGATCCATTATTTCACCTAACCTCCTTACAGCGAGACCTTCCTATTTGGGCTTTTCTACTCACAACTACTTTAAATATATTATCATCTTTCAAAAGTAGTATCTTTCAAAGTCCACATAACACTATAGTGGGGAAGGTATTATGCGTTTGTGCTGTTGTTTATAGTGCTCAAAAATATCGGTGCTCCACACCCACCTTAAAGTATACCAATTGGCTAAGAATGACTTTCTGTGTCAATTAATCGGTATATTATTTCAGTTGCCCACCATACAAACGTACCCCCGAATAGGGCTTATGAGCTCATAATTATGTTAAATGCAGTAGTATGTCAACAAAAATAGGGAAGACTTAGTTTTGTCTACAGCTCGGGCCTCATTTGACCCTAGCTTCCAGAAAATGACTTGAAGGTCAATAATGCACTTATAAACATAAATAACTTTAACGTGAACGTAAATCCCTCTAGCAATATTTAAAAGTATATGTCCATATTTACTCTTGCCCCCGAATAATCCATATTTAAGACAATCACTTTTTTTTTTGAGACTGCCATCTGACCATACCCCAAATACGGTTTACGCTATCCAACGAGAATAAAAACTAACATTTAAGTTAAGGTACGAATATATCCTTAAATGTTTGTTCCCCTTTTCTTGTCTATCCAGAGCTTTTTGAAGCTCACAGATGGACTAAAAAGCTGAAACTCGACTAAAATACCTAGGTCAAATCCTAATGTTGCCGGATTTTTGGCCTGTAAGCGGAGAATTTGTAGGAAAAAGGGGCGTGTCAAAATTCACAATTTTTCCCCTTTTTTTGTCTACGCATAGCTTTTTGAAGCCCACAGATGAGTTAGAAAGCTGAAACTTGGCATGGATATAGTAAAATACCTAGGTCAAATCCTAACGTAGCCGTATTTTTGATTTTTAACCCGTGGGCGGAGGACTAGGAGGAAAAATGGTCTTGGAAAAATAAATTTTTTCAACATTTTAGCTTACATTAAAGGCCCGTAAGGACATAGGAGTAGAACTGAGAGGAAAAAATGTGTGTCTTAAAACCATTGAAGTTAATAATTGCCAAGCATATTATACTGACGTTTTGCACTATGGACGGAAAATTAACAGGAAAAATGGGCATGGAAGATGTCTGTTCTTTACATTTTAACTAATTTAAAAGGTACTCAATAACCTAGAAATCTGAAAATTTACATGCATGTTGTACGGACCAAGGAGAAGATGAACACAGAACTGAATTTTTGATATCCGCTGTTAGGAGAGGTAAAAGAAAAAAGAGACCTGGTAAGTGAAAGGAATGCTGTGCTTATTACTCTCTGTTTAAACATCCGGTGCATTTAACCGATTTTTTTAACTTCAATTAATGCAAATCTGATTAAAAAGGCGATACTCATTATTTGGGAAGAGGAAAAACTAATTTTGCCTCACTCTGACCCATAGTGCAATGTCCGAGTCAGAGATACAAACCGATGCAAAATGATCGGCGGCGCCGGCGCAACCATTTTAGGTCGGCGGCTTATTATAGAAAATATCGGCAGCGGCTAAATTGTTGGCTCAATTTAACTTTTTCTTCAGAAATTGACCTTATAAGCGTTTATTATATTGAAAAATCTCGGACTCCGAGTCACAGGTCATAATTATGAATATAATATGAATAAAAAAATATTGTGGACATAACCTATAAAGTCAGGGATAGAATATTTTCCATAACTTCTTTAATTATGAAACCATTATACATACATATGTATATGAGCTCAAAAGCCCTATTCGGGGGGTACGGTTCTATGGGTGCTATACGAAATAATTAATAGATTTTAACCATTTTCAATAAGCTTCGTCCTTGGGTCAAAAGAAGAATATGTATCAAATTTCATCAAATTATCTTGAAAATTTAGAGTGTAAAGTGCGCACAAGGTTTACAAGGACTTACAGACGGACGGACGGACGGACAGACAGACATAGCTACTTTAAGTTGGATGTAGGACCAATATATTTCGGTGTTACAAACATCAGCACAAACGCATAATACCCTCCCCACTATAGTGGTGTAGGGTATAATTATTATAATTTTTTTAAAATTTATAAACAAACTAGCTATACCCAGTGTGCTTTGCTACCCTAAAAGGAATATGTATAAATAAATACCAGATTTATTATATGTTACATATGAGAGATGTCAAGCAAATTATTGCAAGTTCGCCAGTTTCTATCTATCGCCAATTTCTATCTATCTATAGAAAATTTGAATAATATAAGAGTTTCCAAGACGCACGAAATTTTGTATTTAATTCATATATGTATGTTTTGCCAAGCCACCCATTGAAAGTCCGCCCGTTATGCTCTAAATGTTCACATGAATTTCAAAGTTCTCCATGTAAAATTTGAAGATGATAGCTCTAATAGTTTCTCAGATATACGAATTTAATTCATGTGGGGACTTCAAGACCCCCCAGATGAAAGTCCGCTTTATTTTTTCCTCCAAAATCTTCAGATGAATATTTAAGTTCTTCGTGCGAAATTTGAAGAATTTAGTTCCATTAGTTTTCCAGATAAATGAATTTTTGTCTTTAATTAATATGGGAGGTGCCGCTCCCCTCATGGGTAGTCCGCCAATTTATTACCCAAAATGTTTAGATGGATGTTAAAGTTTTTCGTGCAAAATTTGAAGATTCTAACTGTAATAGTTTCCAAGATAAACGTATTTTTGTATTTAATTTATATGGGAGGTGCCACGCCCCCTAATGATAGTCCGCCTACTTTTTGTCCTAAATAATTATATTGACACTAAAGTTGCTCGGACAAAATGTGAGGACTCTAACTGTTATATTATCTAAAATATACGGATTTAATATCTTCTTAATATAGGCGTGGCTCCTCGCCCACTTGGAATTTCAAAATAAAAAGTAGCCTATTACCTATTCCAGACATACAGGAATACGCTGTGAAAATTTGAATAAAATCGGTTAAGCCGTTTAGTAGTCTATAACGTTCAAACATACAAACAAACCACATTCATTTTTATATATATATAGATTTCTAAAAATTTTACAAATCTAATATATTCATAGGCCTTTTTCAGTAACTTTTATTATAGAATATTTTCAATAATTTCTCTAATTGTGAAAACATTATTTTCTCAAATTATGATTATTTGCTTTTAGCTATAATAAAACACTTATTTTATTAAAAAAAACATAGGATATTTGTAATAAAACTAAAAAACCGGGATTCTATAATTTCGAAAATGTTTTGAAATTATGCAATTAATATTTTTATTTTGTAAATTAAAAAAAAAAAAATGCATAAAAATAACATTCTAATTTATAAATATTTATATTTCTTTTTCAATAAATTTTTAATTACATTACAAATATTCGATATTACAAAATGATTATAAAATGTATGTTATTGTTTAATAATAAAAACCCCCAAAAAGAAAAACTATTTAACACTTATAATTAATGTTTATTTATTAATAAACTTATAACTATAAATTTAATTTAAAATAAAAATAGCTTAAATGTTTAGCCAATAATATTAAGGAAATTTCTTTCAAAAAATTATTCAGCAAAAGACATGCGTAGCCACGCCTTTATGAAAGAAAAAACCAAAAAAAGTATTTATTTTTACTTAATTTTTTTTGTTTATTTTCTTTCTTTCATTGTGGGGGTGTAGCTTTTAATATATTAACACTTTAAAAACCGGTTTTTACATTTGAGGTTAACTTTTTGGCTGGCCACAGCAAATTAATAATAACCACCATTGTAAAATAACCAGCAAACAAGAAGACTTCATATTGAATTTGGTTTTTTTGTTGTTTTTGTCATAAAGGAGGGGAAATAGCTCTTGTTCTTTTTAAAACTAGTCAATGAGTAATAAAAATCCAATTGGTTTAGTGTTTGTTGCTGTCTCTTTTCTTTTATAGCTTTAGCTTAAGAAAAAGCAGCCATTTATTTAGTTGTTTTTGTCTATAGCTATCTCTTTTTGACAAGAATTTCACCACGCTAACAGAAACTCACCTTTAAAGTGTTGGTTTGTATTAAAAACTGTTGTTTACCTATAGCGGCTCTCTTTTAACTAGTGTATTAGGGAGAGTAGGTATAACGGGTTTTGCCCACGTTTTGTTTACAGCTGTAGCAGACTGTGTAATGCTGTCTCTTTTTGTTTAGTGTAGCTAAAGGCTTTTGTTGATTTTAAGAGGACTGTGTTTTATATTGAGTTAACATGCTGCAACACCTCGGTATGTGGCATACGATTACCCGCTGTACACCATCGCACACATACAGCTCGTAAGTTAACAACGTTTTTCAAACAAAAAATTTTTTTGTTGTTTTCGCGTTTCGTGTCTAGTTGTTGTATTTGGATATTATTACTACAACTTCTCCGCTTCTCGATAAAATACTTACTATGGTGTTGTTGTTGTCGTAGTCATCTTTAACACAGAAACACACACAACAACAGCGTATAGAAAAACCACCCGAGTGTTTTGTACACCCAGGGGTCGTTAAACACACAACATATTCGAATGTGTTCACATCTTTGTTGAGTAAAATATTTCAGGAGTCAGTTCAGTCCTGCTGCGCATCTTGTAACGTTAAGTTTAGTCGAACGAGAACGAGCTGCTTGCAACCAAATTGCATGCTGGTTCTAATAAATATACTATTCAAATTTAAAACGCGTTTTTAACGGAAAATTGAAAACAAAAAAACAACAACAACAACAAAAATTTTGAAACAAATTAACGGCTTATTTGTTACTTTAACGGATTAATAAAGTTTTTGAAAAATTAACAAAATGTATAAAATGTTTTTAACAAAAAGTGCAAAATAAATTGTGAAAAAAGATTAAGAAAAATCTTTTGAAAAAAAATGTTTAAAACAAAAAAAGTTTTATTTCAATAAAAAGAAAATTTTGAAAATTAACAAATTTACAGAAAAAGCATAAAGAAAAACAACTTTAAAATATTTTTTATTCCAAAAAAAAATTTAAACAAAAAAGTGTTATTTAACTTTAAAAAAAAATCTAACAAAATGATGATGAACGCTTTCATTGACCCCACCACCACCAGTCAACATCATTTGGCTAATTATGGCATACGCATGTCGCCCAATAATCTCAATCAACAAACAGATTTAGTGCAACAACAACAACAGCAGCAGCAATTGCATCAACAGCAACAACAACAACAGCAAACGGCCCAGGAAGAGGCACAACAACAACAACAGCAATTGGATAGCAGTGGTTTAATGTCCTCCGCCATGTCATCGGGCATTTCCTCCGATATGTCTTCTCCCTCCTCGGCCTATCAAAATAGTGGTTATGCCCCTTTTAACACCCAACTAGGAACATATTCTTCTCGAGATTTTCTTTTGGGACGCCGTACAGAACAGGATTATATGTCGGCCTCCACAGCAGCTGCTCAAAGTGTTGGTCAAACTGCTGCTGATTCTATGCTATTTCCCACCTTTCCTGCAACACATGCCAATCACCCGGATCTAACCAGTTCGTTTGGCAATCATCCTTTTCACTCACATCATCATGCCGCCGCTGCCCATCATCATCATTCGCATCAAATGCGTATGGGCATGACGGATTACGCTACACATCCCTATGCCCATGCGCAACATCATACCAACTTTCCGTCGGTACATGCTGCCCATCATGCTCAACACATGGGCATGCATCCCGCCGGCGCAGGAGCCTTTTTGCGTTATATGCGCCATCAGCCCGCCACTGCAGCCTCGGCCATTAAACAGGAAATGCAATGTCTTTGGATAGATCCCGATCAACCCGGCGGTCCTAATAATCGCAAAACTTGCAATAAAATCTTTCACTCTATGCATGAAATTGTCACTCACTTAACGGTGGAACATGTGGGTGGACCCGAGTGCACTACTCATATCTGCTACTGGATCGGTTGTTCACGCAATGGCCGCCCTTTTAAGGCCAAATATAAGTTGGTTAATCATATACGTGTTCATACCGGCGAGAAACCATTTGCCTGCCCTCATCCCGGATGTGGCAAGGTATTTGCCCGCAGTGAAAATTTAAAAATACACAAGAGAACTCATACAGGTAAGTCTTCGTTAGATTCTATAAAACGGAAGATCATAAAAGTTTTATTTAAGGATTTTCCCCTATAAAATATTGCTTAGGTATTAAAGTTATTAAGCCGTAGGCGTTTGCACTGACTTTAACAGGATTTTCCTGACTAGAAAAAGAAAAACACCTTGTGTTGTGCACAAAACAGGTAGTTTTTAAAATCTGTGATTTAATCTTATAAATCTTATCGAAAAAGTCAAAAGTTTTAAATTAAAACCAGCAGATTTTACAGTTTATTTTATAAAATTTGAAAAGAGTTAAGATTGTGGCTTAAATTCGTGTTAAAACAAGTCAAAATTTTTAAGTAAAAACATCAAAGGCTTAAAATTTAAGCCATGTTTCAAAGACCGGATTTCAAATCTTATAAATCTGTTAAAATCAAGTCAAATTTTTTTAAGTGAAAACAACAAGATTTTTGAGAGAAAGAGTTTTAAATTCCGTTAGAATAAATAAAAAGTTTAAAGTAAAAGCAATAGTTTAAGTTTAGTCCTAAATCTTATAAATCTGATCATTCCCTTAAAAGCTTTAAACATCTATTTTAAGCTTAATTTATAGCAATAATAGCTTTGCGTAAACAATCGTTATAAAATCAATCAATCGTTATAAGCCGCTCTCCCTTTCTATAGCTCTCCCTTAAACAAGCGTTCATTTCTTTTTCAGAAAGTTTGTTTTCTTAACTCCCTAAAAGCTTTTTTTTAAATATTTTTTAAATTCTTTAGGTTTTAAGCTTTAAAAAGCAGTTTTTAGCTTAATTTCATATAAATTCTTGTATTGAGTTAACAATCGTTATAAAACTTGCAAGATTTCTCCCTTTCTATAGCACTCCCTTAAAAAAACGTTCATTTCTTTCTCAGAAAGTTTGTTTTCTTAACTCCCTAAAAGCTTTTTTAGATATTTCTTAAATTCTTTAGGTTTTAAAGCTTTAAAAAGCCATTTTTAGCTTAATTTTTATTAATTGTTGTAATGAGTAATCAATCGTTAAAAAAACTTGCAAGCTTGCTGGCATTAAAGCTTTATAATGTTAATTTCACATTAATTTGTGGGAATAAAAGCTTTTTATAAACAGACATTTTAAAACTTTCTAGCTCTCTCCCTCTCAATTGCTTTCCCGCTTAAAAACATTCACTTCTGTTCTGGAAAAGCTTGTTTTTTAAACAGCTTAAAAGCTTTTTAGGATATTTCTCAAATTCTTTATGTATTAAAGCTTTAAAAAGCCATGTTAAGCTTTTTCACATAAATTGCTGTTTAATTAAACAACTGCTAGAAAACTTGCTAGATATCTCCCGCTCTTTTGCTTTCCCATGTAAAAACGGTAATTTGTGTTTTGGTAAGCTTGTTTTCTAAACTCCTTAAAAGCTTTTTAAAATATTTCTTAAATTTTTTATGTATTGAAGTTTTACAACCGCTAGAAAACTTGCTAGTTCTCTCCCGCTCTTTTGCTTTCCCGTTTGAAAGTAGTTATTTATGATTTGAAAAGCTTGTTTTCTAATTTCATTAAAAGTTTAGTTTAGTTATTACTATAAATTTTCAAAGTTTAAAGCTGTTATAAAGCTTTCTTGAACTCTTTTGCTTATAATCAAGAGATTTCTTAAAAAAAGTTGAAGTTTTCAACTGTGTTTTGATGTGAAGCGTTAACTAAAGTTTAACTGTTTGTTTTTAAGCTCAGCTTTAAAGAGTTAACTCTTCTAAAGTAATTTATGTTAAAAAATCATTAAAATTCTTGCTCTCTTTTGCTTACAAATAGTAATATCTTTAGAAAAGTTTTAGTTTTAATGTTTGTTTAAAAAAAGTAACATTAACTAAAGTTTAACTGTTTGTAATTAAGCTTTTAACTAAAGAGAGAAATTGTTCATATTCTATGCCTCATTTTTAGCATTAAAGCAGTGAGAATTCTTTTGAAAAGTTTAACTAAAGCTTAATAGATTGTTTTAAAGCTTTTAAGTATATTGCTGTAAATTTTAGATTTCTTTTGGAAAGTTTAACAAATTCTTTTGGTGTTCTTCCAAAACTTCATTTTCTTCTAATTAAAAGAACTATTTTTTTTTAACAATTGTGCGGCTTTAGAAAAAAGAGATTTTTTTGTTCTTAAAAATACATGTAATCAAGTATGTTAAAAAAATCTTAAAAAAAAAATTGGCTTTATCATTGGAAAGTAATTAAAATGTTATCAAATACCTTTTTTCTTTAAAGGCGGCTTAAATCATACATATAGGAATTACCAAACATATTTAACCAAAAAAGTAATTTTTAAGACATGATGATGGATTAATTTTCAGAAAAAACAAAGAAAACTATGTTTTAAACAAATCCCAACACAATATTTAGCTCAATATTGATTAAGCAGCATTACTAAGCAAAAAATTATATAAAAAAATAATCTTTTTTTTAATAATATTCTTAAGAAAACGATTTTTTTCGATTTAGAATTGTTTAGAAACAACTTAATTAAAACTTAATTAAAAAATTAATTAAGTTTCAAAACAAAAATTAGCAGCTAAAAAATAATTCAAGTGTTTTGATCACACTACTTCCCAATGAAATGTTTGAACAATTTAAATCATAATTCAATTATTTTTCAAGTATTTGTTTGATTTTTGCAGTGGTTTTTAAGGGTTTTTTTAATTTAATTTATGGCTTTTTTCATATAAATAAAACATTTTTGGAATTGTACTCTCTTTATATTTAAAGAATTTCCTTAGACTTTTGTTTGACACTTATACATGCTGTTTTGACACGTGTCTAAACTTCCTTTAATTGTTAATATAAAAATATTACATACATATACATAACACTTATACACTTTTGTATTAAACAGATAGTCTCCACTTTATAGCCCCAAGTAATCTAGAGAGTAGACATTTAAAACACAAACATTGTTCATTGCCGTGCAGTAACTCATTTGTTGTAGTTTTCTGATTGTCTCTACGTAATCTATGGAGTGACGATTGACTTTTTTGTAGGACACTTACATGTTAAAATAAGTTAGTCACTTGAACAGTTAGGGGCTATGGGTGAAATATAATGTTTAAAGGTAACAATTGTTTGGAGTTTGTTGGTCGTAGATCTACAGATTCAGGGTCCTTATTGGATTCTATAGCATTGTAGACATGTCCGTCTATCCGCCCATCTGTCGGTCTTTCTGTTGAATGCACGCTAGCATACGAACGAATAGCGTTAGTAGTCTAAAATTTCCCCCCGATATTCTCCATAGGTTAAGGTTTGTTGGGTATTTGTAATGAAGAATATCGGTTGATGTTTTCAATTAGCTTGCGCGTCCGTCTGTCTGCCTGTTTTAAAGCTCTATAACATCCAAACGAGAAGTGGTAGGAGGCGGAAAACTTCCAGAAATATTGTCTATAGTTTAAGGTTTGTTTGGTTCCATGTTTTCTTTTAGTTCCCATACTTGTGTCATGCCGGAATACAGTTTAAACAGTTATAAACATGTTGTTTAGACAGAAATTGTAATGAAATGTTGCTCTAATAGGTATTATATACTCGGAAACTATACTATAAAGTATGGCGGACTGAGAGCCATAACTGATCGTAGCTGCCCATGCTAGATCCACTTCAAAAAATCATTTTAACGATTTTAAAAGACTTAATAATACTAGTTTAGCAAAACAAGTTTTATAGCAACACAAATCGTTGAGTCAAATATCATGAAAATTGCTCTATAATGGGTCAAAGCCCTCATATAAGGTCCTCATACAGAAAATGACTTCGAATAGAAGTTTTATAAGAACCAATACTGAGTCCACATCAAAAAAGCGCACTATATAACCTAACTATAACAAGGATCAAAGCCCTCATATAAGGTCCCCATTTAGAAAATGACTGTAAGTCACATAACGGATTGAAAAAAATATAATCGAAAACAAGTTGTAGAGCAACCACAATCTATCTAACAAATTCTATAAGAATCGTTCTATAATTGACCCTAAATCCCCTTCAATAACTCCTTTTACTCCAAAAAATCTTAAATTTTGAACTTAAATTTCTCTCTCTCTAAACTTAATTTTTCCAGCAATTTGTTTAAGAATTTATAGCTTCAGAAATTTAACTGTCATTTGCAGTTGTTTTTACAAACATATACTTGTTGTTTTTGTAGTAATTTTTTGCCTTGGCTTTTATGTCTACGTACGTAGTACGAGGCAACAAAAAATAATTCCTTTTCATTCACATATCCATATGATGATGACGCCATATTTGTTTTTGTAAAAGGCTTTTTGTATAAAACAACAAAACACCAAACACAACATACTCGGCCCAGCAACAACAGTTTGGCTGTAGTGTAACTCTATTACAGCTGTAGTTGTTGCTGTTGTTGTTATTATTCCTGTTTTTCACAGACTCCTTGCTTTCAGGCGCTCCGACTATAAAACGAACAAAAAGTACAAACACACTTACATATAACACTGTAAACCAAAAAATAACGGTAAATATACTCGAGAGTAAATTGCAGGGCAAACACAACAACAACAACAATAAACAAGGTGTTGTTGTTGATAAAACAATTATTTTTCACTCATACTTTTACAGTTATAGCAAAAAACCCTTTAACAAGGTTGTTTTTACAATAAAAGCATGTTACATACATATGCATTTAAAAGCTTTTATTTTAAGAGGGAGGAGAGGAGAAAGTTACCAAAACTCCCCTTTTTTCAAAACAAAAGTTTAAACAACAAAAAAGTTGTTAAATTTATCACAACAACCAAAAAAAAAAAATAAACAAAAGGAACAGGAGTCTGCATTTAATAATACAACAAAGACTTTGCAGTTAAACAAAAAGTTCAATGGTCAATGGGCCAACAACTACATACAACAACAAAAAACCAAAAGCTACCACAATTTTAACTTGTTGTTGTTCATTTTTTATAATTTATTTTACTATAAATTGGCAAGTTTTTTATTTTATCTCTTTTTAAAGTATTTTTTTTTATGTTTAATTATAATTTTTCTGACTTTTTGTTTTA